AATTGATTGTGTTTTGCTTCTGCAATTTCCTTTCTCATTTCATATTTCAGTATATCCAGTCAAAGGTAATCTCGTTTTTCAGTTCATTCCAACCACTCCATTGAGTGCTGCAACAGAAATGGTTTCAATTTAGCTCCGAGATACCTTCATCCATTTTGCTTTCCTATTTCAATACCACAAGAAGACAGTTACTATTCCGAACATAGAATACAATGTATGAGTTACGTCAAATCTCTGCCTGCCATTCGATCGGATTGCACTCTTGGACCCAACGAACAGGTGAGTTCGCAGATCAAATAATATATTTATTATATGTATGATTCTGATGAAAATGTTGGGAGTGTAGTATGAATGATTATAATAATAAAAATCAACTTGCTTTTGGTTTGACACCGAATGATGTAACTAGGACTCTGTCATCGAACTGGAAATATTCACAGGCTACTATGTTCAATGGCATTCAGACTAATTTACTTTTGTGGTATGCAGTAAGAAGGAATCTATCCATCAGAATGCATGGAGATTCCTGATACCAGGTGGAGCCACAAAACATGATTATTGTATTTGCCTTCAGTTTCTAATCAGTGCTTCAACATTACTATCTTCGGAACTCTCACAGTGTTGACGAGATATTGATGTTGCACTGTGTCTTGAAGGATATTGAATTCGCTGTAGAAATGAGCCAACCCATCACATACCCTATGGCAGACACAAGCTGATACATCTGATGTAGTTATACACAAAAATCTGAGTAGACATGGACAATATAATTCTGTTAGATTGTTTGTTTTGATCACGAGATTGTCATAATTTGGCAGATAATTGCACTATACTGAAGAAAGAAGGCTGTAATCATAAGTTCTCTGCATCTATAGGGTTTACGACTTTCAGATCCAGTGATCACTCAATCCACAGTTTGATTGTTAGTATATATGTTTGGAGTTACTATCCTTAAAATCATCAGGCCGGAGAATCAATCATATGTCTAGAATTTTTGAAATAACGATCAAACCATTCCAATTTTCTTGGCATGCCATAATCCATTCACTTTGTTGGTAAACAAAAATTTCATACAGTTTCGTACTTGCTGGCTTAAAACTGCTCAAAGTAGAAAATTACAATAATTTCAGCTCTTCTTATCCACCACAACGTAACCAATATAATAATAATAATAACTGACTTGTTTGGATGCGGAGGTTCATAGTGTTCTAACAGAAGGGAATTAACACTGCCGTGTACAACGTCGTCCAATCGCGTGCTGCTGACCACCAAACAGCAATGCCTTGATAGGATACGAATGCTAGTGGCTGATAAAAAGCCACTAGTGAGGCGAACGAGAAGTATCGCATAAAATATGAGGTTCCGCGAGAAACTTTCTCGCTTATTCCAAGAGCCTTCGCGTGTTGTGGATAATCCGGCGACCGCTGATCAGGTGGAATCCTTTAGGAAGGACATCTATAAATACCCGTAGCCACTCTACTTAGACACTCCAGCCCTAGCGCAGTTCGAAGCTTTCAGCAGAGAGCTTCGAAAGCCTGAGCTCAATGAACTGCGCAACCCGATAACCCCGGATGACGTTCGAAGAGCCCTTGCGGTTTCCAAGAACTTTGCTTAACACTTATTGGTGGGAATACTATCAATTGGCCCCTGCAATTTGGCCAGAATTTTCAACTCTTGGCTGGACGGAGAGAAGCTGATTCTGGATTGGTTTGTCGAGGAGCGAATCGTTCTCATCCCCAGAAGCCAATATTTGTTGATTCCTAAGAATTACAGACCGATAACATGCTTAAATGGATGTAAAGAGAACCTGCTCATCGGTAGATGTGTAACGCAGGACTCGATAAAGTATAAGCGTAACCTCTGTATAGCCTGGATCGATTACCGCAAGGCATCAGCTCATCTTGCATTTGCGCAGATGCCCTGTCGTACCCGACATAATAGTGAGATGCCTTGAACAGCTGATACTATTCTGGCGGATTCGCTTCATCATAACATCTGGTCAGGCTAGAATCCAAACAGAGTAGGTCACTTTCAGAAGGGGTGTTTTTCAGGGCGTTTCCATCAGTCTCCTTCTCTTCTGCATTTCACTATTGCCATCATCCCTTGCGTCCAGGAATACCCGGGGTATAACTGTGGCACCTCCGGAAACCGGAGGTACAAGGTCAACCATTTGTTTCATTTGGATGATCTTAAACTTCATGCCTCTGAAGAAAAGGATCTCAATCAGTCCTTGAGGATGGTGGAAGAGTACACACATGCTATCGGTTTGAAATTCTGAATAGGCAAATGTGCAATGGTCCATCTCAATGACAATAAAGATCTCTGTTCGCGGCAAATAACAGCTCAAACTCCGACAGAACTTCATCGGAACTGTCGCGGAAGAAGAAAGTTGCTGCAACAAATATGCTTGCCGTTTCAATCTTACTCTACTCATTTAGAGAAGTAAAGTGGACTCGAGAGGGGTTGTATCAACTCGACGTGACGACCTGGAAAAATGATGCACCTCAATAGGAGATTGCATCCCAATTCGTCCGTTTCAGGGTTGTACTTTCCCCGACAACACGGAGGCCGTGGGATTTTGAGTTTGGAGTGTCTACATGACAGAATGAAACTAGAGCCTGTAAAGTCGTCAGGAGTTTGTACCTCCTCATCTGCATGGTCTACGACCATAAGAGAGCAAGAATTGGAACATTTATTTTTATGCCAGCTGCCCGAGCAGCTGGGGAACTCGGTTAAGTTTTCGACACTGAACGAGGTGATCACAACTCCGCCACCAAGATGGAACCCGTTCAGCAAAAGGCCCATATAAAAGCCGCAGAGATCACTTTACCCATGCGGCAAAACAAGAATAAGCCACTGTATGTGGTATTCTTCAACGACATTGATGACCTTTCATGGTATTAGCCGGGAGAATAGTTGTTTCCTGATAGGTATCGGACTGTCATTCCATCAACCGACAGTGTAGGCAATTTGAGACTGTTCTGAACGAATTGTTCTCTCAGATAATTTGATTTACAGCCAGTCTTCAAGATATTTTTATCAATCTACTAGCTCATATTCTGATTTCATGCACTTGACTATGTTTTTTCTTTCTCAAAATGTTCACCAAAGCTTTGTCAATAAGAACTTTTCTTTGGACAATGAAGCATATTTATTATTATGCCCCTCTACGATATGTGAAAAAAAAATATTTGTCATTTTACACTGGAGTATTTCAAAAAAAATGCAAAGTTGAGAAAGTTATACCGATTCATTAAAGGGGTTAAAAGTATTTGATGAACAATTATAGACCTGTTTCACTGCTTTCAATATTATCTAAATTCATTGAAGAAGTTATACATCGAATATGATTTAATTACCTGTCAAAAATACACTACGGGTTTCGCACCTCTAGTGATATGACCCTGTTTTATTGTGTAGGCTGATTTCTTCAAAAATTCATTATCTATTTTCAGTATGAAACACTGCAACCAAGAAATCACTTAGTCCTTGACTCCTTATTTGAAATTTGTCTTTTCATCCATTCTACAAAACATATGAACCATCAATACGTTTATCGGTAAAAATTGCAGATCAATCAAGCTACCCATTATCTTGATGGTTCGCAAATATATGGAGCAACTTTCGAGAAATCTTCAAACTTGCGTACACATGTCGATGGAAAATTAAAAGCCATAACAATACAAGGAGAAGAATATCTTCCTTTGTCGGCCAATCCCACTGAAGATTGTCAGGTTGACACAAACACATCTCTTTGCTTCATTTCCGGTGACCCAAGAGTCAATTTCCTACCACACCTTACTGTATTGCATACCTTGATTATGAGGGAACACAATAGGATAGCAAAAGATTTGGCTTCAGTGAACGGTGATTGGGATGATGAGACTACTTTTCAAGAAACCAGGAGAATTGTAATTGCAGAGTTACAACATATAACCTATAACGAATGGTTGCCTCAAGTTCTGGGTAAGTTAATTTGAATTGTGTCGAGATTATTTAGATTTTCGCATCTGAATTTTTATTAATATTAATACGAGAGTGTTCTGGAATGTTTCCAACTTAACAAAGATGCAAGACATTTGTGTAGTTTTTTTTTTTTATTTTTCAACATAGTCTCCTTATACACTCCTCCAAGCGATGTTTTTCTCTGCAAAATAATTGTTCATGAAGGTAGTTGTCTCTTCATTTGACGGGAATCTCTATCCTCCAAGCGCTAGTTTTAGTTGAAGGAACAAAAAGAAGTCGCTTGAGGCTAGATCTGGTGAGTGAGGCGGATGGTCAAACAGTTCGTGCCGTAATTCGTTGATTTTCGCCATGGCAATCGCTGAGGTGTGAGATGGTGCGTCGTCTGGGCGAAACAAGATTTTCTTTTTCTGTGAATGTGGCCGCTATTTCTCAAGTTCTGTCTTCAGCTTGTCAAGTAATGATGCATAGTATGCTCTTGTAATAGTTTTTTCTTTTTGAAAAAAAGCGATTGAAGAAACTCCGTGACTATCCCAAAAAACAGTCGTAATCACTTTTCCAGCCGAAAAAAACGTTTTTTCTTTTTTTGGAGCCGGTTCTCACACAGTTTGAACTGTATTTTTGTTTCGAGCGTATACTGGTATATCCAAGTTTCATCTACAGCAATTAATCGGCGCCAAAACTTGGATTCATTGCACCTAAACTGTGCCAACAGATAGTAGGAAATGTTCATTAGAACACATTTTTGGTCTAACATGAGCGAACGCGGTCTAAATATTGATTTATTATGTGAAAAATACGTTATTTTGACATGTTGGTTACCTCTGCTATCTCTCCCACTTCATTTCGGCTAGCACCATTTTGTGAACTTTGGCAATGTTTTCGTCGGTAGTTGCAGTTTTTGGACGTCCCGAACGTTCATCGTTTTCCAAGTTCTCACAGCCATGTTTAAATGCAGCTGCCCAAAATTTCATTACGGTAAATGATGGTGCAGATTCCCTATACACAGAATTCAACTTATCTTTGATTGGCGAAGGTGTATTGTATTTCAAAAAGAAATTTCAATGGCAGCTCGATACTCTATTTTGTCCATTAACATGAAAACACCCACATCAACTCACTCAAACAACTATTACATAACAACTGCACGTCCAATTTGAAAATTTTGTAATAGAAATATGAATATACCTACCTATATCAATTCAATTCCGTTTATTGTCCCAAAAAACAATGAATGTTTATTATTAGGGACTATAACTAACTACAAAGTATAATAAAATAACAGAAATAACATACTTTACAATGATCACTATTATATCTAGAAAAAAAATATACCAATGAAATGCAGTCAAATGATGAAATTGGTTACAGAAGGTATATGTTGAAAACGTGTAATAGAAATAAAATGCAAACTATGAAATTCCACTAATTGATTTTTCATTACAACTACCGGGAACTATTTTCCAAAACCTTATGAAAATGAAATTCATATATTGTCAACTAATTCCGTTAACCTCAGTTGGTTAAAGAAAAAACAGATTTCTAAAGATTTCTTTAACAGATTCAATTTTGTTTTTATAATTGAAAATTCATATTGTTCAAATTGATACAAAACTTATCAGAGGAATGTGAAAAACAATTGGAAAAGTTGCGAAACTTATTTCATAACTTAATCATAACATTTTGGAAAAACACACGGGAAAAACTTCATAGAGGAACTGCCTAAAAATAGAACGAAAAAACGTCATCAACGTCATGAGGAGACCTGCGTGCGCAGCGTTATAGAACAGTGCTTTCAAAAAATTATTCTACAGCGCCATCTAGTGACGAGTGACAGAAAAATTGATAGACTATAAACCTCTATGAAAAATTACTTATACATGTCAAGTTTCATCACGATCAGTTGAGCGATGTAGAAGTTTATCACTTTCCAACCAACCAACAAACATCCATTTTTATATATTGGATTAACTATCGAGTTACAGAAAAATTGATAGACTAAAAACCTCTATGAAAAATTACTTATACATGTCAAGTTTCATCATGATCGGTTGAGCGATGTAGAAGTTTATCACTTACCAACCAACCAACAAACATCCATTTTTATATATTAGATTAACTAGTACATTTATCAGACTCGGTAAATTAGTCTTTTATTTAGCATTGACTTGGTATGGTATAGACTATAGAATTCATGAGGTATAATCATTATTTTTATGTGGGAGGTATTATATGGTTTTATATTAACTAGTAAATTTATCAAAACCGGTATATTATTAGTATTTTATTTAGCTGTTCAGATTGACTTCGTATAGACTATACTGAACTATAACGACTATAACGAAGACCTAAGTTGCATATAATCAAACAAAGGAATAGCAGGAGGTAAGCTAGTTGTGGACAATCAAAACTAAGTCTAGAAAAATATGTCAGATATCCGACAAAAAATATGTACAAGATAGTACAAGCAACAGTGTTTACCAGAGACTTGTGAGAAATAGACAATATCTACGAGATAAGAAGGAAAGTTCCGACTATTGGTAATGGTTTCTCGGAGATAAACTGTCGGATTCAAATCAGTGAACACTGTCTTGTACAGCTTGAAAATCTCCTCCGATAGGAGGAAGTGAGTTGATAGGGTATAATGAAGGCGTTGTGATTCACAAAGTTAGATCCATACCCCTTTCTAGTAGAAATGCATGCTACAAAAAAATCGAAAAAGGTATCGCTGTGTAACTTCATCCAAATTTTCACACACCACTTAACAAGCCCCTCAGCCATCATTCAATGTACTATAAATAATAATAACAATAGTATGTATTGAATTTACAACTTCAACCGAATTTTAGTTTCAATATTTCGGAGTGTTAAAGTCATCTTAACCTGATTTTTTCAGAAATGTAAATATCTACTGAAAGAATTTGTCTCTCATCAATTTCACCAAAAAAATAAATAAATAAGTAATGTTACAATGTATTACTTCTCTAGATCCGAATAGTTTAGAGAAAATTCACAGGGCAGTTTACGATGAGAAAATCGATCCCAGAGTTAGCAATAGTTTTGCTACCGCTGCCTTGAGGGCGTTTATTTCTATGATTTCCGAAAATATAAGGTGAGTGAACTAACTACTGATACTGAAAATTCTCTACATTTGTCGTCTTCTCTGAGAATAACTGAAACGAAACTCTCTTGTTAGAAATGTACGCCTTAGCTTTGCT